GATGATGCCAAAGAGAACATAAGCTTTCTTTGGCGAAACGCGTCTTTGATAAAATTTCCACCTTGCATCATCATCTTCATTGTTACTATTGTATGGTTGGTCAGCTAGATATAGAAGTTGTTTGCTCATGTCGTTACGGACTCATTTTCTTTTCAGTCAATATGTCTGGGACGCAACCCAAAGAGTGGATTTATGTCTTTATATCTTCCTCTTCTTATTTGTGCTCGTTCACCCTTTCCAGTAAAATTATTTGATTGATATTTACCTAAATACATCAGATGCCAAAAATGTATATTTAAAAATCAAGCGTCCCTGTATCTTCAGCCGTCTATCGATGTAGAACTCTAACCGACGTTTTGTTTTAATTCTCCCCCCCCACTACATACGATTCGATTAATAAAAAACATTGTTTAGACTGAAGAAACCCCTTAAAACTTCTGTTTCGTTCATTTTTCACCAAGTTTATTGTTTTCCAATAGCTAAGCAAACGAAACAGAATCTATCTTCCCTAACTATGGGTTAAATAGCAGTGCACATTGAGCACTCTTGTCATGAGTGGCAGCCAGTTTAGTAGTCATTGAAAAGATCGTCGAGTACACAGTAGTTCTATCACATCGACTGTGTTCGATCTGATAGATATGACAATCACTTCCTCCCCGAGTAAGATGATAAAGCCACCAAGACGCAAGGAATTACTGGAAGCGAATGGGAATGAGAAGACTTTAGAGAGGAGAAAGGACAATAAAAAGAACAGGGTTCAAGAAGACAAAAGATGGCGATAATGCCACTAAGATGCAAGTGGTTATTGGGACTGGAAGAGAATGAGAAGACTAGTGAGGAGAAAGGACAATAAAAGAACACAATTCAGGAAGACCAAAAATGGCGATTGACATTGCAGCTACATTTTTGAAGATCGTAGGTGGCAGGAAAGCAAGAAACCGGAAGAGATTTCCACAGGCCAGAAGTGCAAGAAAAGAATCTATTAGAACAGAATATACGGTTACATCTCGCTATTTTAACGGTTAAAACGATAAGACCCGGTTGCCAATCAAATAGTACGTTTAAATTCACCCAGTCGAGGTACCAAAGAGGAAAACTCATTACAACAATAGCCATGAAAATAATTATAAAATTACAGAGAATCGCGAAGTGAAGATGCCAAGTCAGGACCTATAACATTACAGACCCTACTTTGGCTTTTGTTGAGAATCTTGAGATATATAACAGGAGCAGCAGACCAGAAATGGCAGCAATATTCAATGCATGGATGAATGGCAGATTTATAAATGCGCAAGATGGATTCTGGGGGTGGGGGGATTTTTTTTGCCACTACAGTAAACCAACATTATTAACAACAGACCGAGCAATCGATTCAATATAAAAACACCACTTCATGTTAGTTAAGATCAAGATGGCTCAATAAACTACACTCCCAGAGGTTAACATCAGACATGCTGATAGAAGGTGCAAAAATGGTTCTCTACGATAATTAAAAGGTAATGAAAATTTCAGATCAAAATTAAAATAAAATAAAGGTGTGTCATAATACAGACTCATTAATGTACCATTGTAAGTATATGTACAAAAAGAAAAAAGGAAATGAATATATATATATATATATATATATATATATATATATATATATATATATATATATAAAAGAGGTTATAGTAGTTCCAACGAGAGAAAAGTGTGTATATTAAAAAAGAGAGAAACCGCAAACGTTTTTGGTTGTAATGTGGATTTTTAAAAAATATTATACTTTATTTTCCATAATTTTGCTACACGATTTTCCGGTCTCGCGACCGTCATCAGGCAAAGGGTGGAGATTTCCACATATTGTTAAAAATGATTTTTTTTTTTTTGATGTTAAATATTCTCGATATGAGGCATTCTTTTTTTTGTTTTAGTGATAATAAAACATGTTAATTCCTCTAAGTGCCGGCGGTATGTTAAACATTCCAGAAGTAATACAAAGATATTTCTAATCGTGTTTCTAATTGAGTAAATAAGTTTTAAAATATATTGAAACTATGTATTATATTAAATCACGATGAAGGCGATATAGTCAGTTTTTCATTCCACAGTCGCCTTCCCCCGCCGTGAAAGTAGCTCTCCTTCGCCTTTTCTATAAATATTTTCACTGTAATTATTCTGATGAGGTTTCCACGTTGGCACGTCGACTTCATGAATTTAAGCGCATATATACTTACTATACTTGCATGGAGTAATGGATAGCGGCTTGGATTGAGGAATCGGAGAACCGAGTTCGAATTCCAGTCGAATCCTTTACATTCACTTACGTCTTTAATACCCTTGGGAAAGATATGAATCCTCCTCTTCTACCCAGCTATGGGTAAATAGCAGGACAGACTGGGTTCTATAGGTTCTTGGATGGCAACTGGTCTACGGCAGAAAGAAATCGTAACCTACCGCGGGGAAAAAAAAATCTGCCTCGTCAGTCATTTATCGAAAGATACATGATCGCCTAAGCGTGTATCACGCATGGCGCATAACTGACTGACTATATTTGCAGCTAGGTTTTATAATTTCATAGTTGAAATCGTTAATTCTTCTATGTTAAAAGTTTCTTTCTCCGCACTTCTCGCTTGTGGAACTTTCTATTGGTTTTCTGCTTTGCTGTCAAGTACAGTTTTAAAAAAAATCTGAATACAATTTCAATCTTGTTTTTTTGGACCCGGTTCTTTTATTGCTTTATTCCTTTCACTTTCAGTAACCACCCCACACCAATTTTTTTTTACAATGATATTCACTCTGTACAAGGCCCGGAGCCACTCGAGTTAGAGGGTTACAGAGTAAGAGGCATAGCTTATGCGGATATGTGGGGAAGATAACGGTTAATCATAGACTAAGAGGTTAAGATTGTAGTGATCTGGGATGCATCCTCTTGAGAGTTGGTTTCCCAGAGCAGCGGTACGAGGGAAGATGCTGCTCGAGTGGAACTTACTTTTCATCAAGGGAATACGGAAAGAACGAGGCTGGTTCGCTGGAATAGGCGTGGCATGGCGGGTCTTAGCTGGGAAGTGTAAGAACTGTTTAAACTAAAGAATGTAGTTCGCCCGAAACACTTTCCTTGGAAATAACGATAGAGCATCGCGGCATTTCGTCTGTGAGAAAGAGGTTGTAAGGTGAAAGATAATTTGTCACCTACAAGGATGCGGTGACGCTTTTGGACCCTATTGAGGCTGGAAACTGAAGACTGTGCAGCTTCTGCTCATGTATGTCAGCAGTTTACGCCTGATCTGGCTATTGTAAAGATAGAGAATGACGCCAGGAGTCAGGGATTTACTGTAACAGTACAGGGAGCCCACCATTTTCTCAGCCTCTTTTAGCGATGTATAGTATGTACGAGTTCCAATTGATGTCAGGGGTGAGTTTGTGGTAATAGGGACTCAAAGAACGGAGCCTACCTGAGAGGACGTCCGTTAATCGTTAACCGTTCGGCAATGATGGAATGTCACTAGTTTGGTTTTCGATGTATTGAATATAACTAACCAATTTTTTTCTCCACTGAGCTGTTAGAAATAGGTCAAAAGAGAGCCCGGTTGCCAGCCTCTGGTCATCGAGCGTTTCGGAGGTCTACCCATATGTAGGATCATCAGCATAGATATTCACAAATGATCGGAGAATTGTTTTGCTTATGATTAACACACACACACACACACACACACACATATATATATAAGTGAACATTGAAGTCAACACTCACAGGCGACAGGCTGTTTCATGCTAAACGCAATCATCAGGCCACATACGTATTTTTCTTGACAATTTATATATTCGGGTCAGTATTGCATTGTGGGTAGTCTATTCTAACAGTTATTTTGGCGGGAGTGGTTTGTTAATTTGTTTATTATTTACTTAATTTATTTGGATTAATTTATTTTACTTGTTTTTGCTTATTTATTTTTATTCTTTTCAGTTTTTAAGTAACGTACTATATATATATATATATATATATATTTTGTTTTACGGCTTATCAACCTCTCGTGGGTCATTTAAAGACGAGACATTCTTACGTTTCATAAAAATATTTCTTTTTTTTTTATACCCAATCATATGGCATCAACTATTTATTTACTTATTTTTTTTTCAAAGTTACGGTTTCAGCTTCACCCACCCCCCATGACATGGTATCGTCTCTATATTTATATTATATATATATATATATATAAATATAAAAACAGACCACTTTAAGGTACCATTATAATAATTTATTTCACCAGAGCACCTTTAAGGGACGCCGGATCATCAGATAGCACTTCCAAAATCTCATGCACGAAACGAGTAGTAGTCAGTGAATGAAGAGTTCTTTGTTGGTTATCCGCTCCGTTCATGAAATTCTCACTATCCTTCTGTAGAACCACGTTTCTGTTACACCCAGTTCTCTCTTCATTTGTGTGGAGTTTGTCCAGCATTAACTGTCATATAGGAGAATTGATATTACATAGCTGTTCAGCACTCATTTCTTTGTTTCTAATGAATTTTCATGTTTCTTTATATTTTGTATGGCAGAAAAGAAACAAACAACATTTATTCATTGACTACTACAGTTTCGTACATTGGAGATATATATATATATATATATATATGCAAAATCTTCTATGTGCTGTGTCCCCTCTAGGGTGTAAGCGATCATATGCATCTTTTGTATTCAAAAACAAATATGGAAAGAAAGACCATTAAAAAAAAACAAAAAAACAAGATTGACTGAAAGAAGCAAATACCCCCCGAAAAAAAAACACACACACACAATGTATACAGATATTACCTTTCTATAATGCGCATAATTGATTATGTCACATACACAAACATACCTATATGGCATGACAGTTATAATGTGATCTGTTTGCGTAAAATAAGCATATGATTATGTCATATCTAAGTTTGTTCCACTCTAAATGCGTAGGCAAATGCTGTTTGAAACGGACATAAGCATCATAGAGTTGTGAACATATGATTTAGTTGTTTGGTAGCAATTAAGAGCCAATGAAGGAGTGGGGGGGCGAGAGTGTGAGAAAGAAAGAGAGCTGAAGTAAAAGAGGGAGAGATAACGAAGATAAAGAAAAACGTGTTCTTTGTGCGTGTGTGCAAGCATATTCATGTGTGTATGTGTGTTCGTCGTAGATAACAGAAAATTCAGCACACGTCCCCACCTCCGCGTCCGTCTTAATATCGCCTATTTTGAATGCGCCGTTCAGCTCAGTCACCTCCAGTCCAAACCGAGAAGTTATCGAGCGCGTTGGAGACTGACTACTGCTGCTATGAAAGCAGTAAGGAACGCAGTAGTGGTAATAATAATAATAACACTTGAAGTAAGAAGAGAAAGTAAAGAATGATTGGAGAACTCCCACAACAAAAGAATACGAAAGGAAATACTGAAATATTGGAATGGCTTACTGTCGCTTGATCTTCAATAATAAGCACCGGCATCACCCACGTGAAAATATTAAAAGAAAAAAAAAAGATATTGAAGCGAGATCTGATGTCACTTGATGTGGGGGGAATACTGCCAGATGCCGTCTTGAGTCCCGTAAAACATAACGATGGTCTTTGTCGAGGGCAAGATAGTCTCTAACGGAACCGTGGTATTCAGACTTCTTTCTTGTCTGGAGCACCACCCACGCATCCTCCGACGGTCAGAAAGTCCAGTCTGACCTGTTACTTACCCCTAGCAGGCGGGGGTGGGGAGAAGAGATGGCTTCATACTTTTCCAAGCCAAGTGTATTTGTGAAAAAGGGAACGAAACAGACTCGGCTGGAATTTGAACCCGGCCGTTGACAATAACCAAGACAGAAAAAAAATACACACACACAAGAAGAAATATATATTCGACGGAGAATTGAAAAAAAAAATGAACATAACCTTACTAAAAATCAGAATATTGAAATTGAGGAGGCTTGCTGTCACTTGATCTCCAACAATAAGCAAAGAATATTACTAATGCTAAAATTAAACGTGCAAATATTAGGTTGGTGCAAAAATAATGTCGTTTTTTGACGTTAACTTCAAAAGAGAAAACGACATTATTTTTGCACCAACCTAATAATAATAATGAATGGATGGATGGATGAAAGCTATATCCATAATTACTAGAGTACTTGGAATCATACCAGAGAGCTTTAAAAGATTAGAATTAGTAATAACAGAAATTATTCAAACATTATTGTTGAAATCAGTAAGAAGGCTGAAGAGACTTGCTGTCTCTTGAGCTCCAATAAAAGCGAGCAACTTGATCATTAAGGAGACTTGTTTTTTTATCATTCTTTTCTGTATTTCTTTAAAATATAATGTATCAGTATTCAGAAGTATGTTTTTAATGCCATGTCCCTTCAGGACGTAAGCGATTATGGCTGTCCACAGATTCATTTGCCTTATTTTCTGAGAATTGCCAAGTCTTCTTGGAAAAAAAAATGAATTGCGTTCTTGTTATTTTCACTACAGTTTGGACTCCATTGGCTCCCATCCAAACCTAGAGAGTCCAATCTAGCTGGGTCACGAAAGGACAGCTGAGTTCATGCCTTTCCCTAGTGATACAAGTGAAAAAGTGACAGTAAAAGACTAGATCAGAATTTGAACTCTGTTCGCCGAGTCTCCGAGGATAACTGTTACCCTCTCTGCACATCCATAAGTTGAGTAACACTTCGTAAATAAAGGTTATTATACTCAAACTAGCATAGCAGGCGTAAAAAAAAAAAAAAAAAAAAATTATGAGTTATATTGACCTATGGATTAGTTGTTCTGCATCGGATCAAATGTTGACTTCTTGCCTAGGGGATCATGGTGTAGTATAGGTTTCACTTACTTTGCCGTGTTCCTCTACAATAGTGCTGTATGCGGACAGCTTACGTTCTAGAAATATCGGAAGTCTGATTCTGGGGATTCCAATCCTCTGGCGGAACCCCCACTAATGTATTTAAGAGGGATGGTCTGATTACTCTGACGCCTAAAATGGCAGTGATTGCAGGGTCTGGGCCTAAATATTCCCACAGAAACCAGTCTGTGTGTCATTTACTACCACCTTACCAATGCATAATTGTAGTGCAGTATCTGTGCGCCTTGCAAAAAGGATATATATATATATATAGCTGGCTACTCGTATTTGGGGATATCTGTCTGCTAGAGCAGCTAGCCAATCCCTATTGCAGACGCTTGCTCAGGCGCATTTGTGTTTATTCAACACCCACAGAGCCCACCTGTGGTTTATACAGTAGCTATGCTGAGCAGACCGTAGTTTCAGTTTCTCGGAAAGAGCGTGCTATCTAGTGTGATCAACAATTTGAACAAGGCCAGCACGCTCAACCCCTCGTCCACGATGACTTGTGACTTCGTGTTAGCACAGCTATCGACGGTACCCAAAGGTTCCGTCTACCCAATTTCACTCACTAGGCTTGGGACAAGCCATGGTATTGTTTTTTCAGGCACTTTCCAAAGGTGCCGCACGCTGGGATTGACCCCCTCTAGTCCGATAACATCAGGAGGTCTCCTTCCTGACAAATCGACCATTGCGAGTTTCGCACACGCTATATCCAACTGACCTTGCACCAAAAAAAATATTAATTGTCATATAGGAAGAAAATGAGTAACTACCTATACCGAGGTTCGAGCGTAACACTTTGGACTTATGTTTATCGCCAGGTGTATAAATAGCGGTGTCAGGCTACTGAGTGGGGTGATTATTGAGTGAATATTGCGTGGAACTATCCAGTCGAATTAGTGTGAATTATCGTTAATTTAGGATTTACCAGACGTTAAGTCGTGCTGCGCTACTAACAAGGTATTCACTGAAATCTTTAACTGTTTTTGGTTGACTTTTACTTCTTTGTTCTTGTTAAGTATTTATTTGCGGTTGTAATTAAATACTGTTTTATTTTAACATTAGAGTCTTGAGTTTCTATCTATATTTCTGAGATGAGGTATTATGTACACTATTTACATTATTCGGACTATTGTCTTCATCTTTGTTGCCATATTTATCACAATGTTTCGGTGGTCATTGTACGCTCCGGCCCTCTTCGGGTGGTTGGAATGTCGAACTGAATCCTTTATTTGGCTCGCTGGAGTAGACTGTTCTAGTTCCACGTGCCATGTCTAATGGATGCCATTTGCCAGTTATCTCCTTTAATTCCCCTCTCCAAGTTCTCCACCGCCTTAACTGAGTATTGAACTCACACTCTTTGAGAACTGTCACTGGATCTAACTAACGCCTTTATCCACTGTGTCATGTGTCCCTGTTAGATCCAGTGACAGAACCCAAAGAGTGTGAGTTCAATATCCGATTAAGGCGGTGGAGAACTTGGAGAGGGAAAGTAACAGGAGATAACTGGTAACTGACATCCATTAGACATGGCACGTGGAACTAGAACAGTCTACCCCAGCGAGCGAAATAAAGGGTTCAGTTTGACATTCCAACCACCTGAAGAAGGCCGGAGCATACAACGACCGAAACGTTGTGATAAATATGGCAACAAAGATAAGGACAATAGTCCGAATAATGTAAATAGAGTCTTGAGTTATACTTAACGGCCACCTTACGTCACAAAATGAATGCAGTATGTTTACGCAGGAAGAGTATAAAAATAAGCATTCCTGTATGGGAAGATGATTTATTTGGAAGATTTTATGATTTATTTGGAAGATTTTATATATTTATAAGAGTATAAAAATAGGCATTCCTGTATGGCAAGATGATCTATTTGGAAGAATACAAACGACTGGGATTTGACCATGTAAATCACAAGACATCTGGTGGTGTAATAATAACGGGAATATGATGATGCCAATTGCTGTGAGGGCGCTGGAATTGGGGAACGCCCGCGTTGATCGCCTGGGAGTGACCATTAAAAATTACCTTCAGGGACGACTTTCGGAGAACGGCTGAAACCATCCAGAAAACAGCATTATTGAAAACAGCTAAGAGAAGAGTGTTAAGTAATGAGAAGATTTGCATTCATTTAGTTTACACTGTAGTCTTTTAGTTATTACTAGTGTGAATGCAAAAGTAATGACGACTACTACAAATAATAATAATAATAATGATAAAAAAAAAAAAGAAATACTTACATAGATAAAAATGAGAATACAAAAAAGAAAGATTTACAACAACACTAAAATGGATTAATAATAGTAATACTATGGAAAGTGCTGGAGATTTGAGGATACTACCAATCTGTTATGATTATAAAAAAGGGTCATTCGGTTCACACCCTTCCCTGATTTTTTTTTAGCATGAGTAGAGATTTATCCCTCGTTTCCTTTTTAAAATTGGGTTTCTGGTCACTTCTAAAGTCCTTTTTCACTCCCAGTACCTCCTTGCGTGTTAGTGGCGTCATCGCTTTGCTTAGGGGTGAATTGATTAAAAAAAAATATAATAATTTATCAAAACATATCATGCACATTTGGCCGTGATACATGTGACAGGTATTCTCTTGCCATATTGGTTGTCATGATGGCTATATAAAGACTCCTATATTTGTACCCCCACACAAGAGACATGATAGCTACATCGACACATACAATTTTGTATGAAATACCGTTTCTTTGTTTGAAATTCCTGTAACTTAACTATAATATATACATGTATGCTATTATATATATCATGTAACTATTATATATATATATATAGGAAAGGGGAATGAGGACTTTTCAGCACACTAGTGTATATTTGAGAATTACTAACAAACCAAAAAGCAGGTAGACACTCATATCAAAATCGTTACTCAGAGAAACAATTTGGATAGGAATCCTTAAGTGCTGTTTCGTTTCTTAGTGTTACTACTCTGTCTTAGTCGAATTTTATAGACATTGAGCACTTCAGGTTTTGCGTAAGTAGATATGTCATATTTTTCACTTGTGTTTTCCTTTCTTGATTTTGCTTTAGATATTTACTTATTTTTTACGTTTTGTTTTTTTTTTTTTGGCGGGGGGGGTCATTTTCCCAGCTTAGTTTTGTTATGGCTGTTCTTGGAAACTTTACCAATAGCATTTTTTGTTTTGGTTGTCGTGGAGATTAAAATCAGGCAGGTGCGGAAATTTAAATATCTGGTAAGTGTTCTGACAGAGGATATGGTTCTACGGGAAGATGCTAAGGATACCATGGACCGAACATGTGAGCAATGCTGAGGTTTTGGGGAGGATGCAAACAAAGAGGCAACTTATACATAACATCAGAAAGAGGCAGCTGAAATTTCTGAGACATGTAATGAGAAAGGAGGGCTTGGAAAATCTGATACTCACAGGGAGGATAGAGAGAAAAAGGGACAAGGAAAAGCAGTACTTGACATACTTAACAGAGTATGGTAGAAATAACAAAAAGACAAAATTTGTTGGCGTACTGCACCCCCTCAATAATAATAATGATATGGTTGGTATAGTAAATTTCCAAGCGTAGCTTAGATGTGGCACAAAGCCGACAGTATGGTGCATCCAATGAGGATCAAACTCACTATACAGTCGTAAATGTTCTAGCGAGACACAGCTTGCTAACCATTACACCGCCTCGAGGTTCCCAAACGATTTTCTAAGCGTGACTTAGATGTAGTACAAGGCTGAAAGTTTGGGGCACCGAGTGAGGATCGAACTCACTATACAGTCGTAATTGTTCTAGCGAGACACAGCTTGCTAACCATTACACCACTCCGAGGTGCCCAAATGTGGTCGATATATACTTATTCGGCTGTGTGTCATAATGGGTACATTGGGATTTGTATATTTGTTTTTCAGAGTCACTTCGTGGGTATGCTACTTTCTCACTCAATATAATGATAATAATGAAGAAGATTGTTAGCGCCATGGTGCTAATTGAAGCAAACAGCGTCATTGCATCAATGAACTATTTCAAATAAAAATACGTGAAGACATTAAAAAAAAAAAAAAAAAAATGAAAAGGCAAACAGTTAGAATTAAGACCGCGTTCATATTATACAACGTCTTTAAAAAACGAAATAAGAACAACTTTCAAAAGAAGCCATACAAACGAATGGCACTGAAAATGGTATGACAGAGCTCCGGGTCTCACTTCACTGTAGTGAGCTAAAAATTCTGGCCTTAAAGCAAAAAGCGCGTTAGTCATGCCAATGAGACTACCAACTTTCTCATCCTTATCACTGTTGTTTATTTCGTCTATTAACATGGACAGAATGGCGGTTCTGAGATACAAGAGGATGGGCCGGAAAGAAAGGCCTTTTCGTGTGCCGGCTCAAAGGAAAGAAAGAGTTAATCAAAGACTAAATAGTCAGACAGACAGGAACATGCACTCGCAAGACATCCCTACCCAGGTCACTGGCAACGCACTTGTGCATACACCGACGCACGCATAAAGGCTGCATGTTCTTTATGCAGTTGCCTTTTGTTGTTCAATGAATTTTTTCTTTGCATCTATTTATCATATGCAGAGGGTAATCGCACGAATATATAGAATTCTTTGCTTCCCTTCTTCGTCCAAACGTGCGTGCATGCACCATATATATATATATATATATATATATATATATATATATATATATATATGTGTGTGTGTGTGTGTGTGTGTGTATAAAATATGCCCGTTCGAGGTAAGGTGCTGAAAATTTTTTGGTATAGATGATATATAATCATTAGGCTAGGTTATAGAAAGCGGGTCGGAGATTTGACAACCTTCTTTCGTGTGTGTGTATTTATATATATATATAAATAAAGAGAAAGAAAGAACAGTAAGATATATAATCCGGTATTCTTATAGATAGTTTTATTTTTACAAAATAGTGCTCAATGTAAATTTACAGAGCATTAATATTATAAATTAATTGATTTAAAATGTTTTTTTTCGCTACACAGTTTTAACCATGTTTCAAAAATGGAAGCTGAAAGCATCGAATTTAATTTTGTAATTAAATTAAAGACATTAGTTCCATTTCATCCTCAAGCGAATTTTGGAGCAACTTTTAAAATTATTGGGTTTTTAAGACACAGCAAAAATCATAATTCACGTTTCCAAGGATACAGAGAAATCCAATTCAACCAGACAAGCATATATATATATAAATAGAGAGAGAGAGATAAATAAAATTAATGTTCACATAGTAGTGTAGTCTGAAGATCCTACTGAATCTTGAAACTAACAGTAACCATTTCTATTTGTGAACTGTCTATAACTACGAACGTTCAATCTCTAATAGCGAACACTTCTATAATTTTGTTATTTTCTATTAGGTGCTCTGTGCCTAGGACGTAGGCGATCATGGCCCTCCATTTCTTCTTGTTCCTTGTAGCTCTCAATTAATTTTGTCTTTTTGTTATTTCTACTATACTCCGTTATGTCAAGCACTGATTTCCCGTGTCCCTCTTTCTCTCTATCCTCCCTATGAGTATCAGATTTTCCAAGCCCTCCTTTCTCATTACTGTCTCAGAAATTTCAGATGCTTTTTCCTGATGTTATGTATAAGTTGCCTCTTTGTTTGCATCCTCCCCCCAAACTCATCGTTGCTCACATGTTCGGTCCATGGTATCCTTAGCATCTTCCCGTAGAACCATATCCTCTGTCAGAACACTTACCAGATATTTAAATTTCCGCACCTGCCTGATTTTAATCTCCCCGACAACCAAAGCAAAAAAAAAAAAAAAGCTATTGATAAAGCTTCCAAGAACAGCCATAACAAAACTAAGCTTGGCAAATGACCCCCCACCCCCAAAAAACAAACAAACAAAAAAACAAAACGTAAAAAATAAGTAAATATCTAAAGCAAAATCAAGAAAGGAAAACACAAGTGAAAAATATGACATATCTACTTACGCAAAACCTGAAGTGCTCAATGTCTATAAAATTCGACTAAGACAGAGTAGTAACACTAAGAAACGAAACAGCACTTAAGGATTCCTATCCAAATTGTTTCTGTGAGTAACAATTTTGATGAGTGTCTACCTGCTTTTTGGTTTGTTAGTAATTCTCAAATATATACTAGTGTGTTGAAAAGTTCTCATTCCTCTTTCCTATATATATATATATATCTCAAGGTAGACAAAAACATGAATGCATACATGTATATATAATAGTTAAGTTACAGGAATTTCAAACAAAGAAACGGTATTAGATTTTAAATTATATAAATACATAAAATAACCTAATCCAAGAACAAATGCATACAAAATTGTATGTGTCGATGTAGCTACCATGTCTATTGTATGGTTGTGAAACCTAGGCAGCATATATCAGGCATATCCAGCGTCTGGAAGGCTACCATAAAAAATGCTTACGTCAGATGCCGAAAAGTGCAAAAATTTCGCGCACCGAGTCTATAGTTATGAAATTGAAACTCAGATTGTCTGTTCACTTCGTATACTTAGAGAAGAGACGGCTTCTCCCCAAACACTGTATGGCGTATTGCTGCGAGGTAAACGTGCAAGATCGACATAGACACCAACGTTTGAGAAGATCTTGCATCTGAAATGTCTATTTGGAAGACATTGCTCACATCCAGTATTTATGAACGATTTTGAGAAAGGCAAGATTGAATAGGCACTGCTAAAACGGGATGGTCGCTACATGGTGAACGTAAGTCCTCTCGCGAGAAAAGGCACTAAAGAAACCTTACCTTTTTAGGCTAGCTTGATTAATCGTACACATAACCACAGTGAGAGCTGATGACTATGATGTCAAGCCTGATTTCACTTGTAATCTATGCAACAAAGTGTGCAGATGTTCTGATTGACCAATTCCGAACACTTTATTGATTGCTGCCTTTTATTTGGTCCATTTGGGTAGAGTACTAGTCTAAATTTAATTTCCGATTTGATGGAAGGAGTTCTATAGTTTTTGTTCACTTGTGAGAGAAACAATTTCACTGGCTTTCTCGCCGGTTCTTTGATGTTCGCTTTGGCATCAATAAATCTCTTCTTCTTTCCTCTTCTCGATCTCTTGTGCTCTTACCATTCGTCCATCAAAAAAAAAAAAAAAAAAACTCACTCTTGACTATGCGGTGATCGTAGAATCTTAAACAATTCAATACACATGCGAAGTCTTTTGTTTTTCTTTATTTGCTTTTTCTTTTAGTTCTCCAAACACAAATTCATGGAACTATTTTCATTCCACTAGATGCACAGCATCATGTTCTTCGGGTGCAGACTGGCTTTTGGGGGTTAGTTTCATATTCCCACCGACTTTTTTTCGCGTCACATTGTTGTAAACAAGCCGTTTTACGTCGCCTGTGAGCCATCTAAAAAAAAAAAAAAAAATGGGTTGTTTCTTGTTGCGTTTGAGTAGACATTCGCAGATAGAAATACTGCTCATCATTTTTTTTCTCTCATTAAATCGTGTCTCGTCAAAACCGCAGGGCTACCAGGAATATTTTCGTTTTTCTCAATCAAAATTTCCCTTAACGCCTTATGTACTATTACTCTCATTTTATTTTCAAAAGAAAATGCAGTCATCTCTCATTTAAATAAGGAAAATAGGAAGCTGAAAATGTAAGGAATCCAGACATAATTATAGAAATAACATTGATATATATGCACAGGAAGTGCGTTGAGTTAGTCAAAGACTCTAAGTTTATGTAAATAAAGTTCATTCATGATCGTCTATTCTTTTTAATTTTTCATATATTTTTTTTAACACGGGACGGGAAGTGTGACATCAAAAACCAAAGGCAATTTGGAATATCGAAATAGAATCCAGACAAAAAGTCACCAAAAGAAAAACAAAATGGAACAATGTCAGCACTGTTTTTGTGTGCTTTTTAAAGAAAGCACACAAAAACAGACATTTTTAACCCTAAAAACAGTTTAAATATTGGAGATCTCGGATCTCAGCTGTTGTGGATTAACAATACCTGGATTTCGTGAAAAATAATTTTTACGCTTCCTGCCATGGAATGTATTGACAGTAATAAGCGTGGTTCAAAAATATAATAGATTGGGTTCATCTATAACAAATATGTCACTCGCAAAACCAAGTTGTGATATTTTTCCTGTGACTTTTTTCCTGCACTTGACCACGGCGAAATATGTTTTACAATAAGAAAAAATAAATGCGAAAATTTCTTTAGAAACAAAGAAAAGAATATTGAACTGTTATGTAATACCAGTTCTATAGGACAGTAGATGCTGAAAAATTTTCTCACAGATGAAGAAAACTGAGGTAGCAATATGGTTCTACAGAAAGATGCTGAAAATACCATGGAGCTACAAAGAAGACTTCAGGAAAATAGAAAAAAAAGGGGGGGCACTTATAATTAGAAACTGAAAGAGCTGAAATTTCTAGGGTACATGAAGAAAGAGGATTTCTAGAATTTGACACTCACATGGCATACTGAAAGCAAGCGGGATAGACAAAAGGACCGAATAACCTAACGTGCTTGTGTAAACGGATGACAGAACAGAAATTGGGAGGGATAACGAAAAGACAAACATTACTCAGAACTACAAAGGATAAGAAATTGTGGAGAGCCATGATCATCTACGCACATAAAAAATATTACTTCTACACTGTTTAAAAAGGCCGACTGAGACCAAGTGAACAGACCGATTTCTCTCTGTAGACATGGGAGCATTACAAACTCCATCTGTTATAACAGAGGCATACCTAAAAGAAAATTGAAAAGTTAATGAAAACGCTACTATAATTTTTAGACATGCTTTTAAATCCTTTATTTTATTTTCGCTTGTGCTAAAATTACTTCGAAATACAATTATTTCAATTTTAACACCAAGGTGAAAGAAATGCGTATTTTAAAATATCTTTGTTTTTTTTCTTCAGTTTTCAAACGAATCAAAGTTCATTTTTAGCGACATTTTTATGTATAGTAACGACGTCATAGTAATTATAAAAGTATAACAGAAAAAAAAAGATATTATTTGTAAATTTCCAACGAAAAATTACTATGAAAAGCAGAAAAAAAAACATATTTAACCAAAATATTTTTTTTTTTTTTTGCAAAAACTGATTTTTCACAGCGCACAAACAATTTTGTTTTCTGGACATTAATACCAAAGAGGAAATTATAATCCTAGGCCGCACAAGGTCTCTACAATGAAAAGAAAATGACATTACTTTTCCCAGTATGTAATAATTATGCACACCAGGCGCTAAAAGAAAGGGTTTGGTAGTGTATAGTCAACAAATAAACAAACATACATAGGTGAGCACGTCTGTACATGTTTCAACGTTCGCTTTCTTGAGACACAGAGCAAATGAATCATTCGTAGTCGAGCAGTAGCGGAAATTGTACATGTTCATGACATACAGTAAGCGAAAAAGTAAGTTTAAAGAATCTGAAGCAGCGGATTAACATCAAGTTTTGTGTGAAGATTGGTAAAAGTCTTTGTGAAATGTCAATTCAGAATGGCTTATGATGGACATGTCATGAAGTAATCGAGTAATTTGGGGAGGGGTACAGGCAGTTCAAAAAAGGGCGTGAAGTTAGGAAATAGTCAGCACAGAGATCGTAATGTTGTCAGCTCAAAGTTTGAAATGAATGTAGGTTCACGTGGTAGTTTCTGACCGTAGCTAAGATGTGACACCAGACCGAAAGTATGAGACACCCCGTGAGGATCGAACTCCCTATTCAGTCGTAATGTGGGTTCACGTGTGATCACTATAAAAAAGCATGACTTTATTAATAGCATTTTAAAATGTGAGCACCTAAAACATGTCTGAAGGAAGTGTGTATATATATGTGCCATATCACATTGAGACATCGGTTCTTGAACGATCACCGAAGTTACGCAACATCGAGTCTAGTTGTTACTTAGATGGATGACAGCTTCGGAATAGCAGGTTTTTTTTAAATTTTGGGACGTGCGGGTGGTGTAATCGATAACGGATCGAGATTGGAGTGCAGAGTTCCGATTCTGTTCGGGTTTGTTATATTAACTTATGTGCAAAAAGCCCTCGGAAAGGTATGAATCTATCTTTTCTCCCTACTCCAGCTATGAATTAATTCGTAGGATTTATATCAGTAAATCGTTGTCATCTCAGAATTCTTACAATCTAAATATATTTTCTAATAGGCTATAAAACCATATATAGATAGATAGATAGATAGAGAGAGAGAGAGAGTATAAAGCAAGTTTTTATGATCAGTTTTTACGCCAAAATATAGGGTTGCTATGCACAGCTAATTTTTAAAGCGGTTAAAAATCATAGATTTTCTGTGACCGATTGAACTATACACAGCTATTTTTTTTGTTCAGGCGGTGGCGGTAAAATTCATGCAAAAATAATCAGGCTCGTACTATACATGAAGTCGACTTATACACGAGTATATACAGTCTGTTTTTCTCCAACATTTTTCTTGTATATCTTTCATCGCTCGTCGTGTTGTTACCAATTCAATGAAAACAGAAAACGCTGACTTTATCGCAATGCGTTTATCAATTACATAAATTGAAAGGCTATAAAAAGTTTTAGAGGAAATATAGTTTTCTATTTAAGTTTTCTTATTCAGTTTGTATTCTATTCATCGTCAAAACGGCGGGTGATGAACTAAAAATTTATCTATCAATATGA